TACTTTAATGTAATAATTACAATAAATGTAGTAATAAATGAATATCAATTTCATTAATGAACTTACATTTTTATTTTAAAATAATCAAAATAAAGCTCATTAATTTATTTTGTTTATTTATTTAAATTTAAAAGATCAAAAAATATCTACTCTAATAAATGAATGTTTTTTTTTGCCACATGTCACACTCTCATTCAATTTGCCAAATGTCATTTTGTAGTTATTTTGAATTAATTTTTTTCTACATGTCATTTTATGGGTTTTCTATTTTAATAAATTCCACATAATACTTTAATGTAATAATTACAATAAATGTAGTAATAAATGAATATTAATTTCATTAATGGACTTACCTTTTTATTTCAAAATAATCAAATTAAAGCTCATTAATTTATTTTGTTTATTTATTTAAATTTAAAAGATCAAAAAATATCAATTTTAATAATTCATTATTTTTCTTATTTTCTTATACATACAAAGTTTTTAAATATTTAGACTTTTATATTAAATTTTTTTAATTAACCCATGTAATGTTGGGAATTAGGGTTTGTGGTGGAGATCTGGATACCAACTTCGATCGTGATATCACTTTCCGAACTGATATTTCTACCCTATGTCTGGGTTACAAGAAATTCAGCCTAGGATAATCCAAATGGACACTTACGTTTCTAGGCACAGAAGATGTAAGCCAATATGCTAGAGGATTCTCTGAAAGTATGATGAAACGATAGCTTAAGATCGTCCCCCTCTTCTGTAGAGGAAGAGTTGTTTATATATTAAACACGATTAGGGTTTCATTAGGGTTGGGCCGTCATTAGTTGCTTTGGAAGCAAGTAATGTTAATCCGGATTTAATGAGGATTTAGGGTTACCAAAAACTAACGAGTTTCGTTAGTTTTACCATAATCACCCTCAAGAAATGAGGATTTAGGCGCTGCCCCAAACCCCGTGGGGGCTCTGCCCCTCGACCCCGCCTGCTGACTTGGCAGCGGGACCCCAGCCATGGGCTCTGCCTCGTGGACCCCGCTAGGGGCGCTGCCCCTAGACCCCGCCAAAGGGGCGCTGCCCCTTTGGAAACCCCGGACCCGGGGGCGCTGCCCCTGGACCCCCAACTAGTCGTCGAACCGGCTTCTAATTCGATCTTATACATGCGTGCACTCCGCACAACCCCGTACATATAATAGAGTATAAATTATGAAGCCCCTTAGCTCACATGTTAGTTCCAGTTACTTAAAATGACATGGTGACACTAAAATCACCAACATGTAATACATGGGTCTTACACCTAGTTTCTAATAAAATATAATCGCTTAGTTCCCGAGAGCCTCGATTAAAGAAAGAAATGAAAAGAAATAGACAAAAATTAGAACAAAAGTGAAAATAGATGTTTCTTAGTTTTTTTTAATGTAATGAATTTGAAAGAAGAGAAACGAAAAGGAGGTATAATCTTGCCTCATAGTTTATTTATTTATTATTATTTTTTTCAATTTGAATGGATTTGGAAACAAATGAATTTGATCTTGAAAATAAGACTTGATTTAATTTGTTTTCTTTCTTTTAGCTCGGAAAAACAAAATATTTATTTCTTTTTTGGGAACACAGAAATAATTTTTTTTCTATTTCTTTTTTTTTCTTATTCTTTTCGTTTCTTTGTTAGAACTCATGAATTAAGCGTAAGAGTAAATTATAAAGCATTGAGCTATTTTGTTTAATCTTTGGATAAGACAATATTTGAAATTTGAGTTTTAGTTAAGGTAATCAACCTGGGTGTACCATGCAGTGGTGTCCAAAGTGGGTAGCGGCTCTCTCAGAGACCATCTTCGTTAAGGTAATCAACCTAGAAGGTTGAGTGTTATACCAACCTTAAAAGGCAGCGGTGTTTGAAGTGGTGTTAGGTCTCAGTTTCATGTATTGTGTTGTGTTTTTGTTTTTGCGAATGTTTTAAATGTAAATTCGTGTCTTCAATGTAATATTCTATCTAATATTATGATAGTTTTTTGTTTTTGCGAGTGTTTTAAATGTAAAATCAATACTGTCTATGCGATTTAGGCGATGATCCTTAGGAAAAGTCCTTAGCAATAAATATATAAGGAAATGTGAATTAGGTGATGACAAGTAAATGTGATGTAGACGATGACCCTTAGGATAAATCCTTAGGGAAGAATAAATAAAGAAAATGGGGATGGGTAATCGGGTTAATTGTTTGACATAAATATGTGAATAAACAAATTAACTATATTATTGTGGGTTGAAACCCATATGTATCTCACCAGGTTTCCCAACCTAAATCACTCAGTTTATGTGTATCATAGGTATTGATGCGAAGATACATTACACTGAGAGATTAACGAAGACACAGATCATTAGTATAAATTAATGTAAGATCTGTTTACGCTTATGTTTTGTATCAGTTATAACATCCCCAGTTTTGAAAATATATCAATATCGAACGTTTCTTCGGAAATGTTTATTGTTAATATTATCTAACATTGAAGTAATATTTTAGGGACCAATTCCGCAACAAAAGAAATACTTTGTTTTAAAATAAACATAATTATATTTAAAAAAAATGACCGTAAATTTGGGGATGTTTCAGGCCACATTTAACAAACTCTACATTGAGGCGAAACCAATCTCCAACAACATAACCTTCAACGATCATGAGAAAATGAAAAACATATAGTGTTGAAAAAGCCCTTAAGGAGTTAATTTTAAATACCAACCAAATCTGAAAAAAGTTCAAATTTGTCAATTAGGAGTGACTTTGTCATCATGTCGACCTAGTTGTCTTTGGTACCAATCTTTATCACCTTGATATTGCATTAGGTAATAACATCTCTGATATAATGATGTCATGTGTCAGTGTATGTTATTCGCTCGTGGAACATCGAATCCTTCGTGAGGCATATCACACTTTGACTATCACAATAAATTGTAGTGCAATACAAATCACCACATAACTCACCATGAAACCCTCTATGACAAGTACCCTAATTACACATTTCGGAAATAGTGATGCACTCAACTTTCGTAGTAGACAAAGCAACGTTAGATTGAAGTGTAGCCTTCTAACTCCCGACACAACCACCAATAGTAAAAAATATAATCGGTGAGTGATATTCTTTTGTTGAGATTCAATGTATATATTATCTGAATTGACGTATCCACATAACCTAAATGTTGATTTCCCAAATTCCAAACAAGCCTTAGAAGTACCTTTAAGGTATCAGAATATCCATTAGAAGGCTTTCTAATGTTGTTTTCCTAAATTAGCTATAAAATGACTTACAACAGTCAAAGCATGTGATAAGTTAGACTGAGAATACACCATAACATACATTAATGATCCAATCGAACTTGAGTAAGGAGCCTTTGACCTCTGGCTAAATTCATCATTTGTCTGTGGAGAAAATTTAGAAGAAATTGTGAAATCGTCGACAAGTGATGTAATTATCGGTTTGTAACTAGAATGGTATATATATAAGCCTGATAATGTCAATATTTAAACATGTGAGGACACATGTTGTAAATGTCT